TGACTGTTTTTCAGTAAATAGAGCAATAATTATGTAATCATTAGATTATTTTTCAGTACCTGCAGGTTAAACCCTGTCTAGTGAGTATGCACTTTGGTGTCGTGTGTGTGTGTGTGTGTGTGTGTGAAATGACTTAAATGTCAGATTTCAATACTTCTGGATATTACATGGGTTTGTATTAATCCAATGTTTTTTCTTATTCTCTTATATTAGGTTTATTTTGTTTTTTTAGTTCATTAAACACCTAGTTTATTAAAAAAATCTGTGCTGCCTGTAGCTGCTTCCCTTTCAATCACTATCTGGGCTTATGTTATAGACTATATCTGAGAGAGAATCCTGGAAAATTAGAACTGGAAGGGACCTCAGGAGGTCACATCTAGTCTAGCCCTCTGTTCAAAGCAGGACCACCCCCGACTAGATCATCCCAGCCAAAGCTCTGTCTAGTTGGGTCTTAAAAAGGACGGGGATTCTACAACCTGTCTGGGTAGCCTGTTCCAGTGCTTGACTACTTTCCTCATGAGAAATTCTTCCTAGTATCTAACCTAAACTCCCCTTGCTGCAACTTGAGAACATTGCTCCTTGTCTGTCATCTATCCCCACTGAGAACAGTCCAGCTCCATCCTCTTTTGAACCCCCCTTCAGATAGTTGAATGCTGCTGTTAAATCTCCTCTGTCTCCTCTTCTTTAGACTAAATAAGCCCAGTTCCCTCAGTCTTTCCTCAGAAGTCATGTCCCCCAACCCTCTTACCACGTTTGTCACCCTCCGCTGGACTCTCTGATTTGTCCATATCCTTTCGCTAGCTCTGGACTCTAACAATCACAAATTAATCTTAAAACCAAATGCTATTGGGATTCATTACTTTCTCTCTTGCTTTACTATTCAACATTTTGTATCTCAGGTCTTGAATGTTAAGAATCGATTAGTACAACTCCCCTTAAAAAGTGGATCCCAGGTCCTCAGGGGCCACAGAATTGAATAGACATGATTACATCTGTAATGTTAATTGGCATCATTATATTTTTAGTTATGCCTATTTAACTCCTTTAATTTTTGACTCGATCAACTACAAAATGATAACACCTGAATTGGAAATGTACATAGTACTCTCCCCTCTTCCCTATTTAAGACAGCCTGAGTGTTCTCAGTGTCTTGGGAATTTAATTCACATTTCCCTGTTCCTGTTTTATGTTTAGATGATATCCAAACATTTCACTTTTAGCATCATCTCTCTCTCTCTTTCTCTCTCTCTCTCTTTTAAAGGGCTCAGTTGGCTTATTTACCTACACAGTTGTTAAAGAGGACGGGAATTGCATGTGTAAAGTAGCTAGACCAGGGGTTGGCAACCCCTAGCACATGTGCCAGGGCATGGCAGGTGAAGTCATATGCTACATCTCTGTCCCATTGAAATCCAGTGGCACCTGGTTGTCATAAGGAGGCAGAAAATTCCATCCAGAATCCATAGGATTTTTTCTGAAGGCAGTTTTCTTAGACTGCACCGACTCTGGTAATCAGGCGCTTGGAAAATATGATGGGCTTTGCTTCCTCTTCTGATAACATTTCCCCTCAGGTCTTTTACAGAATCATCTGAAATGGTTCAGCAGCTTGTCATGATCTCACCATTGTATTGCGTGGAAACTCACTTCTTGGCATGGAAAAAGGAACTGTCTTCCTTCTTTCTCAGTGTCTTGGGAATTTAATTCACATTTCCCTGTTCCTGCTTTATGTTTAGATTATATCCAAACATTTCACTTTTAGCATCCTCTCTCTCTCTCTCTCTCTCTCTTTTAAAGGGCTCAGTTGGCTTGTTTACCTACACAGTTGTTGGTAAAGGGCACGGGAATTGCATGTGTAAAGTAGCTAGACCAGGGGTTGGCAACCCCCAGCACATGTGCCAGGGCATGGCAGGTGAAGCCATGTTATTTGGCATGCCACAGCCAGCCCTGGCTCTGGGCAGGCCCCTGCTGCCAGCCACAGAGCCCAGGCTGCTGGCAGCAGGCAGCAGGGAGGCTACAAGCCCTGCTGTGAGCAGCCCGGGGGCCGGCAGGAAGGGCCTGCCCAGAACCTGTAGCAGGCAGCTGCGAGAGTGCAAGCAGCTGCACCAGGGTCTGGAGCCCAGGCCTGGCTCATTGCTGGTGGTGGCTGCCCATGTGCCTTGGGGAGCACAGCAGGGAAGGGGCCAGGGCTGCAGTACCACCACAAGGATCAGGCCCCTCGCAGCTCCCTTGCATTGGTCCCAGCATGCCAACGTCTTCCAAGTCAAGGTTGCAAGGGTTTTGCAACACTCGGCCCAAAAACATTGCCGACCACTGAGCTAGACATTTGCACTCAAAGCTACTTTTGAATATCAGAAGTCAGGTACCTCACCAAAAGTGTTTAGTAACCCTAATGGCTTTTATTTGCAATGGGTTAGTTAGCAGTTTCTTGTTTAAAAGAATCAGTCTTTAAGAAAAGAACAACCTAATAGTCATTGAAGTGGATTTCTACATCTTCAAGGGTCCTCCTACTTCAGTCCCTGGCAAAGTTCTTATAAACATTGATGGGAGCAGGATTGAGCCCACTACACTCATTTGTATTCCTAAAAGTGGAGGGACTATCTCAAAGGTTTCAAACTTTGGTACCTAAAGTTATGCAGCTAAATCCTTATGAAATCAATGAAAAACTGCCAGTAGTTGACACTTCTGAATATGAGTTAATTTATCAGAAACCAAAAACATACTTATAGTTACTTATACAAACAGGCCTGTGAACAGGACTGGGTGGAATTTAAAGACCTAAGTCACAAAAAAGCAGTCCCGACTGACTCCAGTCCAGTAACCACAAAACTGCACAGGTGCCTCTATTCTGGGGCTGAGAAGATCCGTAGGCATCTCAGTTTAGGTGTATGTGCATGCTCAGAAACTAATCAAACCAAGCAACTAAGTGCTGAACTCCTGCCTAGGTGGGATTGTAGTCCAGGTCAGGGCTGAGAGGTGCATCAACTGCAGTTAATTCCCTGATCCATCAGTAATTGGCAAAATACCCATAATGCCTGATTGACACCAAGAGCACTGAGTTTGGTACAAAGCAGAACATCCTGCAGTTGCTTTGGGTAGTGGTGGTGGCGCACCATAACCTAGCAGTCAGAACATGTTCCCAAGAAATGTGGGGCTGGGTCCCAACCCCTCCTCTGCCCAAGAGAACTCAAATTCAAATTTCCTAGAAGAGTGTCCTAACTGCTAGGATAAGGAATGGGGGAAGGTGGCACTCTCCACCCTAATGTTAACACTGGGTCACTCACAGCTAAGACTGCAAGACTGAGCATTCAAGAAAAATAAGCAAGAGGAAGCATGACTGTCATCCAGTGATAAGCACCCTTCCCTCAGGCTAAGGACCCCTCTCTCAGTAGGGAAAGTTGGGTCCCTTCTGCTATGGTTATTTCTCTTCTAACCAGTGACAGCCTAATATAAAATATGCAAACAGGCCTGCAAACTGACACTGGAACTGAGCTATCCACCTCCAAGCAGAGGGCTGTAACAGCTAGGGCACAGTATCATACTTCAAAATGCTGCTTCTCCTTCCGATCCCAGGTATCTTGTTCTCTTCGCTGCACAATGGCTCAGCTTCAACAAGTGAGGTGGAGGGTATCAACCACTGAGCTTATTCCATAGACTGGTGAATAGCACGTCCTTCTGGAGAGTAGAAGATGTTGGTTTAAATCTTCACGGGCCAAGGAGAGCCTAGGACTCCCGGGCAAGTTGGCACCTTGGCAGCCATATTTGTGCGTGAATGTCTGGTGCTACGCACAAGCACCAGGTTTGTCCCAAATGAGCGGCCTGTGCCAGATTCCTAAGCTCTCGGGAGAGCCGAAATTCTGTTACACAGCACAACTGTGTCTAGCATTTCTTGTTGCTTTATTCTTTGTGCTTTGCTGCTAGGAACTGAGGTGCTCTGGATCAGAAATGACGACCCCTCTCCATTGGCTCCCTAGGGATGCTAGGCACCTAACGGAGTTGAATTGGCCTGCTGTCCTGCGGCAAGGGACATAAATCTATGCAACACCTAAGTGGAAGCACCTACAGGAACTATTTGGATCTGGCCTAAAGTGCCAATATATGGATTTCAGCTCTCCTGTTCAAGCAGTCGCATTTGGAAATGCCAGCCCAGTGCTTTAAACAATATAACTAATGTAATCAAGCTAGATAGCATTGATACAATGCATTTTATTTTCTTAACACCTTTTATGCTCACAGCTTCTAGAAGCTCATTAGCATCTCATGTGAACAGAAAAGAAATGAACTGCAAAATTTAAACAATAATATGGAGCAAGCATGATGGATCAGAAGTAACAGTCAGGATGACATTTCCGTTAGACTAGAAGTGATCGCTCTCTAAATGGAGTATCCTATTTAAATACACAAACAAAGAAGTCTTTCTAGTTGGGGTTAATGGAGAATGGAAAAAGCAAAAGCTGGGATCTGTTGACAGACATTTTAAACCACGGCAGAGATTGCAAAACAGCTGAACTCATAGCCCAGGATTTTGTAGTTCTTACACAGGCAGATTTCTCTGAACGTATCCTTCCGGCCTGTTTTAGCTCTCCCCTGTACTCTGTCCCTGTGAATGCCTCTGTTAGCTCTCACTCTTCTGCTGCATCACATCCAACCTCTTTTTTCTAATTTTTTTTTCTGTCCTTTCCTAAGAATACATGTCTTATTAAATGATAGACTGTAGCTCAAACAGACCAGATGATTTCTTCTGGCCTCAAACTCTCATCTATTTTTTCTTATCTTACTCTATTCGCTTCTTAATATCTTGCCCTTTATTTGTTACAGCAATGTGTTGCATCATCTTGAATCAGGTTGTAAACTCAAAGGGTTTGGTGCCACTCTTCCTATGGGTACATACATATGATATCTGGCACAATAGTGGTACCTGGCCAGTAAAAATAACAAGCAATAATAATTGCTACTGCTAATTGAAAGCATCTCTTGAACATTTATATTTGTTTTTCCTTTTCTAGTGAAGTACATGCGAGAAGCAACTCCATACGTGAAGAAAGGTTCTCCAGTTTCAGAAATTGGTTGGGAAACACCTCCACCCGAGTCCCCCCGGTTGGGTAGTGCATCCTCTGACCCACTGTCGCAGCTTTCCCTCTCTGTCAACAGAGACAAAAAAACAATTCCACTCAAAATGTGTTATGTGACACACAACATGGCTGTGTCGGACCCAGAAAACAGGTAAGTAGTTGCCTTGTCTGGGGCCTGATTTTGTGCATTCATATAATTTATATGCTATCGATATATAGAGCTATTAAGCTGATATAAACACGGGTCTACCAAATGATAATCCTGAAAGTCAGATCCTGAGTTTTGTTATGCTGTTATGAATCTATGTTGTAACTCCATTAAAGAAAGATAAAATTCTGCCCTTTCACTCTTATAAAACAGTTTCCAGTTGAATATCTCAAAGCATTTTCACAGAAGCTTCACAACAAAGCATTTTGCAACAAGTCTTTTGAGTTAACTGTGGTAAACACTTATCAGCTTTATAGTTGTATGGAAAAAATACTGTAGTGCAGCGATCCAGTATTTTTCTTTAAAAAGATACAAGGTCGCAGGCTTTAAGCACAAGGTCACACTTATACTTTAAGCACAGCTGGGTGACTGTCTTGAAGGAAAAGAATCTAGTTAAGTTGATTGCATCTCCCTAGCTACCTTCACTTGTTTGATGCAGTGAAGTTGCATGTCTTTTTTTTATTTCTTAAGAGTAGCATAATTGTCATATCCATTAAACATGTTTCTGTTTAAAGGAATGAACGAGAGAGAGAGGTTAAATTTGAAAAGGCTAATGAGGAATTTCTGTGACTTTTTGAGGTTTCTTTTCAATGTTAAAAATAAGATGTTAGCTCTCATTTTTGACATGTGTGGAACAGCTGCATCATACCAGCGCACTCAATGGTCTTCTATTCTAACAGCTGCTAAAAAGAAGGGCCACTAGAGCTGGTGAAGCAGTGGAAATACAGACTGATTCTTCTGTCCAAATAACTAGCCTTTTTGTTCTTCACAAGCAGGCAGGCTTTTGAAATACACTGTTTGGAACTCTTTTGGATCTCACCATTTTATGCCGGGGGGCTAAAGTTACGTTGCATTTGCTGCGGGTGTGGGGAGGGGAGGAGTAGGAGAAGACTGTGTAGGGCAGTGATTTCTTTTATCCTATTTTTGGTTGGAGGGGTAGGTGCCCTTTTATATTTCCTGGTTCTGCATCTCAGAAAAATTTACAGTGATAAATTAGGTCCAATATGTTAGCTTTGATT